CATATATATATATATATATATATATATATATATATATATATATATATATACTTTTAAATTTCAGCAAATGAATCTGTACTAGTCAGAAAAAGAGAACATTATAATAATTTGGAAGCTACGTACTCGAACTGCATATGTTAGAAGTAATGTATACTGACGAATTAGGGTCAAATAAAAAAAAAGAATCAAAAAAAAAAATAATTGTGACTAACAACTCGGGTATAATTCAATCTCTTTATCCATATTTGTAGATTAATTTTTAACATTTCTAAGTCGAGATGTCTAATAGGGGTGTGCACGGGTCGGTTCGGTTCGGTTTTAGCCAAAAACCGAACGGAACCGAATATATCGGTTTGTGTAAAATTAAAAACCGTGTATGTCGGTTTTTTATCGGTTCGGTTTCTTTCGGTTTCGGTTTTTTTGGGTTCGGTTTCGGTTATTTTTTGGTTCAAGCGTAACTATATATTCAAGTTGTACAAACAAAAGAATACAATTACAATTACTTTCACAACTTACTAATGCAATGAAAATATAAAATCTTTAATTTCATAGGACTTAACGTAATTTATAGATGATGTATTATGCTTCATTTTTTTTCCTACTTTCATCTACCACATTATTAAAACCATGAACTCAAGTAAATTTTTAATTACTAAATAAATAAAATACAATGTCTCAATTTATGAACAAATGCTTAGAATGAGACAAGTAGTTGAAAGATAGAAAATAAATATTAGTGTAAAATAATACGTATATTATATAAAATGAAGTCATTTTATAGTTTCGGTTCGGTTCGGTTATTTACCTTTCCACCATACCGAACCGAATAATTCGGTATTTCAAAAATAAAAAACCTTACATGCGGTTTGCTATTCGGTACGGTTTAAAATGGCTCGGTTTTTCGATTTTTTTGCTCACCCTTAATATCTAATATGTAGTTTGCAAACTATTGTACCAGAACTAGATTTATTCAAAATACATCTATATAATTCTGCAATATAGTGGAAAAAAAGAATATGAGATATGTACTACACCAATATTTTTGTCAAACAAAGTTACCACTTGTTAAAGCCTGGAGTTCCTAGGGGTATCAAGTGCAATAAAAGCAGTGCAATGATTCCAAACATTTAACCTCTCCATTTTCCATTTTTTCATAAGATATGCCTCATTCATGTATTAAATTATTTATTTATTTATTATTAATTATCTTCATCTTGCATAGTGGGATCTCTTTTATAAGACTCAATCGAGCACATCAAGACAGCCCGTTGGTAAGCACCTTGCACTAGAACTATTTGACCATGCATTCAAGACACCAGAAAATGAATTCAGGAACCAATAACTATCCTTATTTTTTAAAGAAAAAGAAATTAAATGAAAACTATTAGAATAGATAAATATAAAGGAAATGAAGTAGCTAGCTAGTAGTACATTGTAACAACTTATAAAACTATTTTATAGGAGAAATACATTGTACACCATCTAATATATGTTCCCACAAATGTCATAATGATTGCCACTCAAGAATATAATGGGGTTTAAAGAAATATAATTATATAATTAGACAAATATATATAATTATATAGAAGTGAGGAAACAATTGATGAAGACATAAAGTTGTTGTCTACACATTTTTTCATCAAGTACAGTAGCCCCTACATGAGGTTGACTCTTATCAATAATATATTTGATAGTGATATATATAAATGAAATGACAAAATTATATTAGTTACTGATCCGACCAAATTAAATTATTATTTTTAGTTTTTAATGTTCTTTTATTTATTTTGTAAGTTTAAATTTTCATTTATTCACTAGCTCAATGATAAATTAATTTTAATTTTAAGTTGATTGAAATTTATATGCTATGGTTTTAACTCCTCAAATAATAGCTTGAACAGAGTGAGTGATTCTATCGTTGCATAAAATAGTTATTGATATAAAAAATGCACACGTATTAAACACGGTAGTTAAAATATTTATTTGATTAGCCGATAACAATAGGTGGTGACTGTTAGAGAATATTATATTATAGAACTCTTGTAATATTAGGATTCTAGTATGATTAAGTTACCTAGATTAGTTAGGATTTAGTTACCTAGTCAAACTCTAGTAGAGCAACTCCAATGGAGTTATCAAATGAGTTATCAAATCTCTTAACTACCATTTGACTCCTAATATTTAAAAATTTTGTTCTCCAAAGGGGTTATTAAAATGGGTTTGTATTTTGATATTTCTCCTCTTTGAATCTAAAAATACTTCCTGCAGATTGAGTTATCAAAAAATAACCACCTAACCAACCATTCACAAATTGACAAGTGGCAATTACATATAAAATTATTAAAAAACTTCCAATTGATAATAAAATTTGATAACCATGGTTGGAGTTGATGAGTTTGAAATGTATTTTAAAATATTATCTTAAATATCAAATGAGCATTTGATAATCCAATTTTGATATATAGCATTGGAGTTGCTCTTACCTTGCAATATTTCTCTATATATATTCCATGTAATCAACCCATAACATAATGGGGGTTTCTATTCTATTCTCTTTCTCCTTTTCTATTCTTCCTATAGTGACCGTATTCCATTGACCAGTCAACTGTAAAAAGGGCAGGTTGCAAATTGCAAACAATGTTCAACATAAGTTGGCTGTGTTTATGGGCTTTAGATGGGCTTTAGTTTTTTTGAAGACAAAAAGCTATTGGGTCCAGCCCAAAAAGAAAAAGACTTTAAAAAAACTCCCCGGAACCTCACCTGAAAACTCGTCAGAAAATCTTCCCGGAGCTCCGTTAACGGAGGTGGGTGCCGACTGATTGCATGTATTTTAATGTGAGTGTACATAGAAGAAAAAGATGAAAGAAGCTCCGAGCTCATATTTTTCGAGCTTTTGTCAAACTTACGAGTGAGCAATGCCTTAACAGTGAATGAGCATCTTATGTCAAACGAACTCTGTGGCCGGGATCTAATTATTAAGAAGCAAATTAATATGCTGCACTTGCTAATTATCCTTTCCCATATGCAGGAGCTTCTTCGATTTAGTTTCCGAAAGAGCTTATAACGACCTCCGATCCACATACTGTTCATCTCCCGGTATCTACATTATTCGACACTACCACTCTCTAACATCTATAAGATATCTTTAAAAAGGTAAAGAACGCCGATTAATTGTTAAATCGACAACGTTGCAGTAGATACTCTTCGTATCGTACCGTATCTATTATAGATTGTATGTGGCTCCAAAATTTAACAAGACAGCATATACAGCAAGCAATTCTATAAATTGTATGACCAATACTTATCATCAGAACCCTCACCTGTTTCCAATAAAGCCTGTATTTAGCTAAACTGGATCCTCATCAATTAATCGTATCGGTTTTTTTTTTTCATTTTCTTACTTCATTTTTAGGGTGTCGGAATGAATTACTTTACCAGTTTCGCGAAGAAAAAAAAAAGAAAAAAAAAACTGCTGACCTGTAGAATGATTCGGCAACACCATTGAGAGCATTTTACAGAGATCAATAAAATATAATTTTCAGTCAAGAATTGTTCTTCGTTAATGAAAACATCAGATGTCATATCCGATCCAGAATGTATATATAATAAAACGAGCATTATATTTGATGCATATTTTGGATTCAGATACGAGCAAGTGCACACTCACTAGGTTATACAAACAGACCTATTTTCTTCGAAATGTAGTTGGAAGAATGAAGTTACACAGCCCGATATCAATCCAATGAGTTCCAATCTCAAGAACAAGAATCATCCACAGTTCAAACCGATTTTTAAGATCAAACAAGCTTATGAAAACGGAAGGCAGTAAATTACAAATTGAAATGCACTCGTCGCAAAATAACATCAATATACATAATATCAATCAATAAGTTCAGCAATAATCAACAAATCCTCCAATTAAGCGAAATTCAACTCAAAGACACCAACTTTATATACACACTTCATCACACAGTCATATAATGTAGAGCAAATAAGTCGGGAACGAATTAAAGCTTACATCAATAGTCACTTCGATACTCGCTGTAGCGATCAGACGAAGCCAAATCGTTATCCACTCTTGCGGCAATCTTCTCTTCCTCGTACTTCACACCTTCCTCCAATGCCAGGCCTCCCATTGCACCAGCCACTGCTCCGACTGCCAATCCCGTACCCAATCCAATTCCAGGTTTCGAGGAATTTCGCTTCTGGTAATCATAAGGTGTGTAATCCACTGGAGCACTAGGCCCTGGACCGCCATAGCTGGACTGCCGCTCGATGAACGGCCTCGGAGGTGGTGGGGGCTGGTAATAAGATGAATAATACCCCGAGGGCGGCGGATCGGAGTACGAATAGTAAGGCTGTGGAGATGGCGCCGGTGGTGGAGAAAAAGAGGATTGCTGCGGGAGAGAAGAGTACGAGGAAGGAGGGTATCCTCTGTACGGCTGAGGCGGAGGAGGGGCGGAGGAGTAATAATATCCGGAAGGAGGGGCAGGATGGTAATTCTCCACGGGGCGTTCGATTAAACCTAGCTTGAGGCGGATTTTGCCGTGTGGACGGCCGGAGGGGCGGTGGAGCTCGAGTGTTTTCAGACGGATCGGGGACTCGTCGGAGTTGACCATGATCTCTCGAAGTTCGAATCGAAGGGTTCCGACCAAGGGTTTGGCAGTCTCCGAGGGTTTTGAGTGGAAGATTTCCAGCGTGAGGACGGAGTCCCTTGGGGAGAGGGTGAGCGGCAGAACGAACCGCTCGTTCCACACCGGCCGGGTGGAACCAGAATCGTCCGGTTTGGTGGCCTGGCGCCGGTCCGCATCTACCCATAGGATGACGTAAGGCTTGAGATCGCCGTTCCTCCAGTTGACGTTCTTCAAGTGTTTCGCGGAGACGATTGTTACATCCAGATCGTACAGTTTCGGCGGCGGCCGAGGGGCGGTGCCGGTGGCCATGAGTAAAGTAGGTTTGGTGGTGAGAGATAACGTGCGCCGCGTCTAACAGTGGGGGAGAATGCGCAGGATAACGTAATTATCGTAGCGGAAGCAATTGATATTATTTTTCACTTTTTTATTTTATTTAATATTTTTAATTTTGAAATGTTGATTGTGGATTCGGTGAAAAGTGTACATTAGGTAGGACCCACAATTACGAAATTAGTATAAGATTTTATTTGCGTAATTTTTAACGAATAAATTAATACAAATATATCTTACACTAGTTACGACTTGGGCTGGGCTTGTAATTTCGTGTAGTTAAAATAAATCTAGCCCAATCAATATATCTTACTGTAATTGGGGTGGTATTTCGTTGTATTTTTATTAACTATAAGAAATTAAAAGCCCGGCCAAGTTGTAACTACTAGTCCATGGACCATGACCAAATTGATGGAGAAAATGCAGAACAAGAACGAATTGGCTTCCGATAAAACCCCGAAAAGGTTCAATATTTTTTATCATAGCTTCATCTAGCACGTTCTTGACGAGTCTGTGTTGGGTACTCGTTTGGTTTATACAAACAAACAAACGTACTTACAGAACTAATTATACGAAAGTGAATTGGATTACCCAATCTCAATGCACATAACTCGACTTAAAAACTGGTAATAAAATTAGAAACCAGGCATCAAAGTGTATACTTCCCCATAAATTGAGGGAGAATTGAAATGTATATGATTATTAATAATATCATGTTGTATGTAACGTAACTATCTCCATTAATGTAGTGACAAAAAGCCATTTTGTATCTTAGACTAAAATACAAGAAAAAATATATATAAATTGGCCTTCCAGGTTATAAGGTGCATTATTAGCAACACAAATTCGCATACATTTTTATACAGCCATATATATTTTGATAGTGCAATTGAATTTGTATTATATGTTGTATTTTCATTTTCATATGTACAATGTGGTATGACTACCAACGTTATCGACATAGGTACGGGACCATGTATTGGTAAATTGATTACAACTGACCAAAAAAAAAAAACAAAAAAAAAAAGTTGACGACATTTACTAGTGGGCCACTTTATGTGGGCCAGGCCAATAACTAATTTATTTTCAACACCTCTATATATTGTTAATTAGAAAATTGATGTAACAGCCCAACGAAATAGACTGATTAGTTACTATATTAATACAAAAAACCACGAACAGAAGAAACCGCCGGTAAAAATTAGGCGAATGGATGAATCGGGTCAAATAATCGGAAAAAATAAAAAAAATCGGTTAATTAAGCAAGCAGCCGACGTATAAAACAAAAAATGACGAGGATATTTATTATATACACAACTTGTGCAGGATTCTAGTTGTCAATAGAAGGTTCATTTTGCAAGAGCAAATAAAAACCATCGACTTTTTGTATATGGGGATCAAGTGGGTATTAAGTTTTAAATTTTATATTGGTAGAACTATTTAATTTGCACAACTTGCAAATGCCCCTTTGTCACGTACCATAATAATTAATAATGTATATATATATAATATATGAATGCGGCATATTTCATCATGACAGAAATTTTATAATTTCCCTTAACCGATTCGTACATAAACCGGTCGTCACAAGTTGGTTCCGGTTCGAATACGGACCCGGGCGAAATCATGTTAGAGAAATATTATTGACATGATCCATTTGCTATAAATAGAATTAATGCACTCGTAGTTTGCTTAAAAAATCATTAGCAACATGAACGGAAAAAAAAAAAAAAAAGAAGATTAATAATTTTATTTTAAGTGCATTATTAGTGGTCATAAAGTCAATTTTAATTTATCTATGTTTATAAACTTTAAATTGAGGAATAATTTACAATTTAATGAACCCCACCCTGCCAAATGCTATCTTCGTGACGCTATATTATTGATTCGTAGACAGGAAATATATTCCCAAGTTGAATAAATAAATATTATGAAATTAATTTAAATAATTGCCACGTCAACTAACCGAAATAAAAACAAACAGGACAGACAAAACACTAATTAGTAATTACAGATTAATAAACTAGTACGTAGATTTTTTATTTTTCCTTTATAAATATTGCACGTAATATATCAGGGGATCTTAGCCGATCTAAATCTGCATCATGTCAAAAAAGAATATTTCTGGGAATCGAATTTTTGAATTTTAATAATAAAATAAAGTATGAAATCGTTTTGTTGTACAAAGGCGTATGCATCTCAAATGTGGCCTACATGCCCAAAAATTCTTTCAAGTAGAGAGTACTTATATAATAGCAATAGTTGAAATATGCATTTGAATACATTGACTTTGTGATTCGTGAATGTGAAATCTTTTAGTCAAGTTCATACAATTAAGCAGCTGTGAATTGATGCATTAAGTTATAGAAAAACAAAATAATTAATATGAATTAAAATTTGAAATAGATTGCAAGTCATTTTCCTTCTAGATTAGTGTTCCTTTCTCGTAAGTAATGAAAATACTATATTGTACCCGTTCCATGTCGACTGTTTGTCTATTATATATTGAGAGCCCGTTTGGCTAAATTTATTTAAAACGTCTCATAAACTGCTACTGATAAGCTGGTAGATTAATTTTTCAAATCAAAATAGAATATCTCACATAATTAAGCCAAAATCAAGAGCGGATACTCTGACTTTTGATAGAGTTGTATTTACTTATTTTGAGAAAGGATCAAGATTTATTAGTGGAGAGATATTAGGAAATGATTTCATTTCATTTAATGAAACAATTTTTTATTTTTTTAAAAATATATTAGGGTAAATTACACACACCCCCCTGAGGTATGCT